ATGTATATGACACTGGTGCTATTTGTCTGATAGCAGGGGTGGTGGGGCCAGGGGGCGGACGTTGAATGTGGGCCACCAAAAGTACACGCCAAATGCAAATTTATGCATGCACAACGCGACGGAAGGAATAACAGGAAAAAACATATTTGCACAATGTGACATTGCAAAAAGTGCTCTGTGCTGAGAGAAAATGGCAAATGCTGAATCCTGAATGCTGCAGATAAGCACTTTGTGTAACATTCATCATACGCCACGTGTGCCGGAGCTTTCCACGCTGCTTATCGATTGCATGCACATGTAGCATAATTTTGCATGAAATTGTTGTTAGATTGGCGAAGCTTTCAGCAAATTAGCAACAAACTCACATTACGGCAAGCATTTTATGGCTTAATAAAATTGTTTCGTACTATATACGAGCAGACGACGAAATATGTCAGCGCAGGCTTATGAGGCCATGTATTCATTTAGTACACGGTGTAAACTTTTGTTTTGGTCACTAATGATGACAGCCCTTATTGTACGCCGACCCAAACAAAGAACAGTGTCTCTAATCTAACAGAAATCGGACTGTTCTTAGTTAAATTTCTCTGTTTTGCCAGAACAGGACCTCCCAACATCGCTAAGGAAACGCTTTAGAAACGATAGTGAGACATCATTGATTCATTTATTTAGAATCATCACGCTACGATCACTAAAATATGACTCGTAATAATTAAATTAATAATTAAATTTTGATATTATTTAGTTGGTAAGAGATTCGTTTCTCTTGATTTGCGAATAATTGTGGTTTTTTATCTGAAAGGTTTCTTGTAAATTAAAAATATAATAATAATATATAATAATTTAATATAAAAATAATTTAAAATATCTTTCTTGTAATCTGTCAATGCGAACTAAATTTTTCGGTTTCATAAAATTAAAGTACTATTATGTGGTGTAAAACTTAAAAACGAAACAAAAAATGTTCAGTATGTATGTTGTTATAATATATTCAGCAGCACAAGTTCAATAAACATAATATATACAATATTCTAAATATATTGACGTTTCAACACTAATAATGATTAATAAATGAATGACTAAATTTGTTGAATGTTTTGTGGAATATCACTTATTTTAAAGTTTAAAAGACATGCAATCTTTATTTTTACTTTTCTATCTTTTTATTAAGAACTATGCAGCCGTCATATGTATTTGAAGACATTCATTACACGTATTATTTCTTTAATTTTAGTTTCATAATTTTTGTATAATTAAGTTTGATTTCAAAAATAATTTAGGTTCGAAATAGCAAAATTTGGGGCATCTTTAGAAAACAGTTTTTTTGACACTTTCAACTACAATTTCGATCCACTGTGTGGCATTCAACAAAGTTAAGTTCAGACATGCTTGAAACGGAAAATATATGCATGTATGAACGGCTATACCCACACACATATGCGCACGACTGTATGTGAGTGTTGGTAGCCATGTTTCTTTGTGCTCGTGTGTGTTTGTGTTGTGCGCTGACTGGGGCAATGCACAAACAGGCTCTGGCAACAGCAACAGTACCAAAAACAAAAACAACAACCACTTTTGTTGATGTTACTGGTCACTTGTCACAACGGCTGACAATTACGTGTTCTTGTTGTTGTGCGCTAGACCTTGCCAGGCACGCTATCGTTCGCTTGATTCCAGGCCAGGCCGGTCTGGTGCGGTCCGGTCCAGTTCGAGCCAACGTTGAAAAAACAAGCTGATTTGATTGTTTGTAATTAAAAGTGGACCCAGGGAAAATTAAATGAGCATGCTTACAGTCGGTTCCCGCTTCCTTTACAACATCCTCCACCTACAAGTTGTACACGTATGTGTGTGGGTGTTCATTTAGTGTGTTAGATTGTGAGTGTGTATCTGTGTCATAAAACTTAATAGCTACATCCGTGTGTCCGATGCTGTTATGTGCGCACATTGCGATTAATTTCAAAAATACACGTACAAAACTAATAAAAAACACAGGCCCACCATCTTTGAATATCAAGACAAAGAAAATGGCAGCCAGACACGTGTCGTGACGTGTCTTTCTAATTAAGGCATCGCGAACTTTGCTACGTTTTGCTTTTTACCTACCTACTTAGCGAAATTATTTTGAGCGCATTTGTCGTGTTGCCTCGCATTCGGTCTTCTAGTAGATTTCTGGGTGTTTTGTGGGTCTTTGTATATGGCTCTTTGTCTTGTCTGGGCTTAATGACTAATTGATACCCACTGTCAACACTTTGCGTTGCCGTTACGAAGCGTGGCGTGAACTGCGCTTAATACATTTAAGCCGGAGCCAAATCAACGCCAAGCTCGCTGCGACGTCTGTCAACATGTGTATTAACAGGCAGTGAATAATGAGTTGTGGGCGTACTTGGCAAGTGGAGGGGGGCAACAATAACTCATGCAAGATGAGAGGGTGTTTGACGGCTTAAATGGGCGGTTCTTGATGCTCGGCAAATAACCGCAAATGGCAGCAACAAAATTGTTGGTTTCTCAACGCTCATCATCCGCAACATCTTCATTATTTCCATACGATGGTTCATACGATAACCATAATCAAAATCAAATGTTAAATGAGATTGTTAAATAAAACGGGTTCTTACTTTAAGTTCCTACAATTAAATCAAAAATTACAATTATTCCAAAAAATAAAATAAACTCGTTCTTTCTCGTCCAGGCGGATGGACAGACGGACGGACGATTCTCTCGTCATGCTGATTCAGAATTCGGAGATACTTCCTTCTGCATGTTACATACTTTGCACAAACCTAATATACCCTTTTTACCCTACGGGTACAGGGTATAGAAAAAGCATTTACAAAGTGCAATTTAGAAATGTTTAATATAAAATCCCACAATTAAAAAACGCATTTTAAAAGTAAAATTTAAAATTGTTTAAAGTGAGATGCTTATGAACACTGTGACTAATTTACATTGCGTTTTATTTAATAAGTAATAACCAATACATAGCACAAAGGAGTATGTTATACATAGACGAGCCAACCCACCGGTGAAATATCCCGTATTCAAGTAGTCCCCATTGGGGAATCACTGATGGAGGGAGTGCATTGTGCTGGCATAAAATTGATCTAGAAGTTGATGTGGTATGCGGACTCTTGACAAGAAACGTATGCGAAATATTTAAAACCGACTTCGACTCACTGGAGTTATAAGTATTTAATTTGTAAACTCATTGTATACTTGCAACATTGCAAGATTTTAATCTTGCTTTAGAAATTAAGGGAAAGTTGGCAACGTCGCATTGAATAATTAGCGACAGTTATATATTAATATGTTTTTCGCTAATACGAGCATATCAATAGAGCACGAGTATAGTGGAGGGAAATTATTTCTCGTTTATATTTTTGAGACATGCTGCGCATAAGCGTAGAAATACATGCCTTCTGCGTATGACGTTTGTTTGCTTGGCTTATTTGCCACAAAATTAACCGCAAAATTAACATGATATGTGTACGACAATGATTTTGGTCACTCGTTATGTGCATTGTTATTGCTATCGAGTGCTGTTGTTGCCATTGTTGTTGTGCTCGTAGTTGCTGTTGTTACAACAATTGTGTGGTGCACAAAGTTTGGGGGCAGGTCAACCGTCCATGTGCACGGTGATTGCCAAAGCGGTAATCATACATGTAGCAAAGTAATTAGTTGCCTGCCTAGTTAATGTTTGATGCATTGAAAGCATTCAAGGACTTGACTGCAGGCACAAAGCATGTTGCAGTGTACAAGGCACACACTCAGTCGAACACACACCGTGACACATAAAAGCCCCATAGGCAGGCAAATGGCTTACTAACTGACTTGAATGACAGCCTGTTGCTTCATTTTTGTCGCTTCCAATGCGCTTACTCCTTAGAGACAGCAGCGGAGGAGGCATTGCTATTCCAGCGACCAGGTCCTGGCAAAAACTGTTGCGGTAGCGCAACAAATTGGTGGATAAAAGAGAAAGAGAGAGAGAAAATGCTGCGCAAGCTTTTCGATGCTCTCCCGCTCTCGTGCAGCACTTCGTGTTTGTCCCTGTGCACATCATTATTGGAAGCACTCCTTCATACACCCACAAATTGTGGTCCTCGAAGCCGAGCCGAGCCGAATCGAGCCGAGGGCTGAGCCGTCGATTTTCCAATGGGACCAAAGCGCTTCGCCTTCACTGCCACTTCAGTCCAGGATATACGCTTGTTCCGAGCACAACAAGTGCGCGCGTACGAGATCTGGCAGTGAATATAGCAACAGCCACAGCAGCAGCAGCAACAGTAGCAACAGCAGTAGCAGCAACTCCTACAGTAGCCACAGCAGTTGGCCGAACCGAAAAGCCAATCGAGCGTATAGTGTAGTGTATAGCCAAAGGCAACGACGCGACGGCGAAAAGTAAAATCGAAAGTGGAAAACAAGATACAAAAACAAACGACAGAAGTGACGCGACATCGTTTTTGTTGTTGACGTTGTACCAGTGTGTTTTTGTGTGTGTGTACGTGTTGTTGTGAATTTAACGGAAATTACGGCTAATCCCGCTTCCTGTCGTGTAGGCAACAAAAAGAGCAACAACAACAACAAAATTGTTCATTGCGTTTGCGCGCAAGAATAATTAACACGAAAAATTTAATTTGCTAAGCTATGTGCGCGTTTTTAATTAAAATGTAACTCAACGTTTAATGAAATTATTTGTGTGCGCAATTCAAAAGTAATTGGCGCAAAAGCTTTGTAATTTGCAAAATTGATGCCAAACAGAGAGAAAAAAGGAAAATTATTTGCAGCAATTGGATGCAGACAAAACCGTAAATAAAGCCACCGATTTCTGTGTGCATTTTATGATGATAAAGAGCAGAAATATTTTGAAATCTGATTATTGTTTGGATTGTAAGCGAGCAGTTTAGTCCCATGCTCGGTCCTCTAACGTGCAACTCTTTGTGTGCATTTTAAAATTTTGTGCAATCCCAATTTCGATTCCAATCCCAAAATCAGCTTATTTTAACTAACCAAGGAGAACAGTGCACCAGCAGAAGCCGTTACCGCAACAACTGCAGAAATATGTATAACTTTTGGATAATCGTTTTATGTTTAGGATTACTAGGAACTAAATCTATAAGTAAGTATGCTTGGCTGAATGCTTTGTTACTTGTTCTTGAATAGTTTACAAGCAACTTATATGAGTGGGGATCTTCTGCTTGAAGGAGCAATTCGTACACATTTGGTAATTCCGAATCAATAACGAGAGACTGGTTATATTTTTGGAATGCAATAATTTGTTTGACATTATTATATAACATATTACGAATACAGATTCGTTAGTTACGTATTTGTACAGTTAGGAATCATTCTAATGCATTAATTTTTAGTGCGATATGAAAGAATTATCCTTATTAAGAATTATCATTGTGTATAAGATCGAACTCTTGCATTTTGCAGAGTTAATAATTTAATAATTTAATAAATTATAAAAATTAATGAAAATATAACTTACAATATTCTTAATTTTAAAAATGGGTTAAGTGTCAATTAAAACTCGAAGGCAATATTTATGTAATTATTTGAGTAATGTGAGCTAACACCTACACTTTTTATACGTATAGTGTATATATATTCTTGATCAGTAAGACAAGACAAATCGATATACATAGCTATGTCGGTACCTCCGCCTATCTGTGTCCAGTTTGTGCCACGTTCGAGAATGGATAAAATCGTGTTTATTTAGATATTATGGATTTTTCTATAACTCTCGCCATTCTTGGAACTGGTATCCCAAGCTTGGTCATTTAATGCCGTACGTGCTTATGTGTTTCATCGTGATAGGATAATTGAATTGGAATTTACAAACATTTCTGTAGTTTCTGGTTGTTATTGCACTACATACAGACACAGTTCCGATGTGATTGTACTCTATTGAAAATGTACACGTAGATTTACAAATATCTCCTACATATAGTACATACGCCATTCATATTTATTTTTACGTAAATGTTTTATAATAAAAAATTTTTTTCATTTTTTGAAAATATATTTTTAAAGTGGACTTTCCTGTCTAGCATTGAATTCAATTTCAGTAATTGCTCTGTATATTTTTTAAATACGTGTGCACAGTATACGGTTCCTACTTTGTAATACGTCTGTCCAAGCTTTGGCCACAGCTACAACTGTAAAACGGTAAAAGAGAAGCCACATTGGGATATCTGCAACACCGCTGTGAAATTCGATAACCAAACCATTCACTTTTGTTCGATGCAAACGTAATTTAAAGATAATTATTTCCAATTGCTACTCTACAATAAATACAATATATGTAAAAAAGTAGAGCTGTTGCCGTTGCCTTTTTTGTTGATGAATAAACTAATGTAAATAACTGCAAAAATATATATTTATGTCCAGCCTAACCCCAAATGATAAAGATAGCTCGAATAAAAGCATTTATTTTGAATTTTCTTCGAAGGTTTTTAAATAAAATACTCATTTTTATACGAACTTTTCAATTAAGCAAACAAGACTAGCGCCGGATATTTCGACCTTGAATTATTTTAAGTGAATGCACAATTTTAAAAATACAATTTGGCATTTAAGAAATATTCATATGCACATATATGTATGCAATAGCTTGAAGCAGAAAAAACGCAGATGCTTGCTGGCTAATTGCAAATGGCGCGCAAGCACGTTACAAAGTTCTTGTTTCGGTCGAACTCGAGGTCCCGAGCCGTCAATTTTCTTAAAAACACTACTGGGCAGTAAAATGTCACGCAAACGCAGCCAGCAGCCAGAAGTCGAAGTCGTGTCCAAGTCCTTATGCTCGTCTCTTGCTCTCGTGTATTTTTTTCCATAAGACTCATGAATTATTCATAGTGCACGCTTCGATTATTTACTTCATAAACATTTTTCTGAGGCAGCTTTACGAGTGTGTGATTGTGTATATGAGTGTATGTTAGTATTTTACTTGTTGTGCTACAAGTTTTTAATTTTAATAAATTGTCGGCCTGCCAAACATTTTAGTTAAGTCATGCAACGAAAAGGCGGGGGCAGACTTTTGAATGGCAATTTACAAAACATTTTAAACATTTATAAAACAATTAAGGCAAATTATTGCTACATTTTTCCTCATACTAACATTTATCCCTTACTCCTTGAGTTTTGCAGCAATATGTATTATCGGTAAAGTAAGTAATTGCATTTGTAAGAGTATGTGTCTTTATTAAACTGATGTTTCTACTTTATATCTCCAGCTGGTCAGTTCACTGGAAGTGTGACTTGTGCTTTTATTTCATTGGTTAAGAGTGTTAAAGTACGTATGTACGAGTATGTGAGGCAATATGAACATTTCTTAATGTCAACATAACAAGACTAGAATGTTAGAGTTCTGTGAACTTAACTCTTTAAACCCTTTTTTTTTGTTTTTAAGTTAAATTAATTACAACTGATAAGATATTAAATAATATACAAGGTGCATACAAGGTGCAATTCAAAAGTTCCAGGACTTCTATTAAAAAACGAAAACTATTTTTTTTTTTTTTTGAAAAATTGATTGGTCGCCTTCAAAATAGTCTCTTTCCGCCTGAATACAACTTTTTGCACGTTCAAAAAGGTGATCGAACGACTTTTTTAGGTCATTTGTCGGTATAGCGTTGAGGATGGCGGTCGCCGCCTGTTGGATGGCATCAACGTCAGCATAGCGGTTTCCTTTCATGGCCAAATGTAGTTTTCCGAAAAGGTAGACGTCGCACGGTGCCATATCAGGTGAATACGGCGAGTGGTTAATGGTTAAAATGTGATTTTTGGTCAAATAATCGGTCACAATCGGTTGATTTTTGAGCAATTTTTGGTCGTCAGTCAATTTGTGCGGAACAAACACACCTTTCGTAAGCCCAAATGTTCGGTCAAAATTCGATAAATCGATGTTTTGGAGATGCTCAATTCCATTTCCATCAATTTCAATGATGATTTCGGTTGATTTTTGATGAATTCACGCACTGCTTTGATGACATTTTTGGTGATCACGAATTTTGATTGGCCCACATGTTGATCGTCATTTCTGTCCCCACGACCACTTTGAAAACGTTGAAACCACTCGTGCACTCTTCTACGAGATAGGCAATCATCGCCATAAACTTGTTTCATCAATTTCGGTAAAAGTTTTACCAATTTTAAACCAAAATTTAATGTTGGCTCTTTTTTTCGAAGCTTATTTTCCGACCGATAACACAAACATACTGACACTTAAAACGCAATAACTTCACTTCCAATCTATGAAATGTCATGAAATTCTCACTGGACAATCGATAAAGATAGCAGATTCTAACGCACCAGTTGACATATAGAGAGCGCCACCAGGGGGCGCTAGATTCAAAAAGTCATGTTTCCTTTGAATTGCACCTTGTATATTGCCCTCGGGTTTGTTTATATGCTTTTGGATGCATTGCAGAATTGAATAAAAATAGCTATACATTTAATAGCTGCTGGATTTTCGATAACTGGACTTTGATCGATAGGAAGAGTGTTTCAAAAGCATTATGAACCATCAATATTGTCTTCTTTTCTATAGATCGCAAATAAACCATGCATTCTTCATTATTTCCAGATGATTTTATAAAAAGGATGCATGTTTATTTGAGAGCAACGTTTTCGGAAATCGAATCATGACGGAAGTTTTTTTCTTATCTAATACAAAATACACGTTTCTGGAATTTTTTAGTTGGTTTAATTTGAATGATTTGTTTACGTTCTTTTTTTTACAATACGTGCCTAAAAGAGAATTTGAGTTGAATTTAGCCTATTTCGGTTGTTATTGTTTTCATTTTGGGAACATTAATCTTCGCATAGGGCTTGACTTATTAAGCAAATATGGACTGTTAGTTGCAGGATTCATGTTTGGATTCATGTCCTCCACAGTATTAAATGGTTAGCCAGAGTTATACTTATAGTAGATAATCGAGATTTGCTTAAATTGCAATACTAATCGCAAACGTTAATATTGTAAGTCAGGGAAATGTTGATATATTTCGAGCTGCAAGGTATACATTGTTATTCTCAATCTTTACTCACAGAAAGGTTTTTTAAATGATAAACACTTCTAACCACCATGTAACAAGTGTGCCACCGAGCCTGAACGTACACGTAATTTTAATTGCGTTTATAAATAAGCCACAAGATTAAATTTCATTACAGCTTCATTTTAAAAGTTAATGAAAAACTCAATGAGCAGCTCGTAAAACGGCGGCAACAATAATTCCAATGGGCTGAGAGCACAGTCTTGGTTTTCCTGCCTATCCATTACACGTTGTCGCATTGGCAACGTAATCATTGCAAAATTATTATCCCACGTTGTCAGCAACAGTCTCCACGGAAGCAACAACATCACCATCGCGAGCCATAAAGCACGTATTTGCAATTTGACGCCGCCAATGACTGAGATATGAGCCAACGAGTGGCATATAAAATGCAGCAACGATACCTTGAGTAAAATCAATTTGAAGTCATTAAATGAAATGAACCTTTATTGAGAAACACAGAAACACAGGCGCCAGACTAAGCCAGAGGTATGGGACTTAGGTCGGGTGTGGCCCAAGGAAAAAAGCAAAATATTATAGCAGCTAAGCACACAACTTGGCGCAACACTCTTATATATTAAGGCTGAGTCGGGGCATCCAACGTTAGAGGCAACCAAGTGGCTGGGATGGTCCTGCCTTAAAAATTTAAACACGTCGCGATGTCAATACTTAATACTCGTATGAGACACTCGACAGTGCTAGAACGCTCCATGTGGCTGCCAAGCAAACATAAGCGATACTAGAGATGGTTAAAGGACGTGATTGGGAACAAGCCAGTTGTAAAACGATGACAAACGAAGACAAACCGAGTAAACGAGTGGTTGAGCTTCTTCTTTAACCAAATTTGGCTGAACCATCATTCCTTTTTTTGTTGTAATGCGTCAATACAAATGTTGCAGTCATTATCATCCACCCTCTATTTATTGTTTTTGGTGTATTATTAATTGTTGCCATAATTTATTTACATACTTCAGTTATTGTGAAGACTCATCTCTAATTAAAGTCGTTCCTGACATGTGCCCCTTGATGCAATTACTATTGATTTTTGGTGGAAATTGCT